GGCATCGATGAGCTAGGAATTCCGGCGCGGGGCGGAGCTAGTTGGCCCACCCGGCCCGGGCGGACAATGCGATGACCTGGGCTCGGTTTTTGGAGGATCGTGAGAGATATGGCCGTTCCTTTGGGGAACCCAGATTTCTATTCCCCGCAGTCGATCACGGCGCGCTTGACGGTGAAATCCTCGGGGTTGTAGCTGCAGCACAGCTCTCGAAAATTGGCAGGAATCGTCGGCCGTCGGGATGCAGTCTTTCATATGATAATGGTCTCGTGAAGTTAACTCAAGCAGGAAGCAAGCTACACAGCTCCAGTATTTTCTGCACCTGCAGTAGGTTCTGGCGCGTCGGCCTGTCGAATTCTCAGGCCCGCAGCTGCAGTATTACTATCAAAACACTTGGCGGAACCAGCTTCGTATAAACCAGAGAAAATACATGGCTCGAGTTTTTAAGCTGATATTGAAATAAGCTGTCTCGTCGCATTCTGAGCACTGCTTCACGCGTCAAGAGCTCTACGAGGGCCCCGGCGGTAACCTGGTTGACGGTTCACCGCCGGCTCCCAGTCTGAACGCTCGACTCTCGGCCAAGACCTTCGCGACGCCCATGCCAATCGCAGCGCCGACCTCGTCGTCTTCCCCCGCGGCCCCCGGCCGCCCGCCTCGAGCCCCCTGGCCTGGTGGCCAGCCTCTCCCGGCGACCCGCTGCGAAGCCTCCAGCAAGTCCCAGGCGTCGTCCACCGGCGCGTCCTGCGACTCCTGCTGCATCCTCTCCGCGTGCTCGTAGAACGTCTCATTGTCCGGATACCCGTTCGGGAACTGGACGTTCTGCTGCGCGACGGCATCCACGTCGATCGTCTCCGAGATGGCCGAGGGCTCGCCCCGCGCAGTCGCCTGCTTCAGCGGCGCTGCCTCTCTTGCTGTCGGGCACGCTTGCGGAGACGGCGCACGGAACGCCGCCCTCGACGGCGAAGGCGAGCTCGAACTTGCCACGCGGCGCCTCGGCGGCTGCGGCCCGGGACCGTTGTCGGAGACCTCTCCCCCATGGGAAACCCCGTGGACGGCTTCCCAGAATCCGGCCTCCGAGCGCAGGTCCCGAGGCACTGGTCGCCCTTGCCCCCAACGCAGCTGCAGCCCGCGCTGCAACTCCCACGTGACCCGCAGCACTCGCGCTCGATGCTGGACTGCTGCGTCACAACGTTCGAGTCCTTCGCACCCCGGTCGCACTCCCCCTTCCTGGTGCAGGGCGCGATCGGCGGAGGCCCCCCGAGAAGAAGCCGCCCCTGACGCCGGCGACCCCTGCCCCCCACGCAGCTGCAACCCGCGGCGATCGTTCCCAATGCCGCGCATCAGCCGCACATCGTCTGGCCCAGAGTCACCGGTGTCTCGGGGACTTCGCACTGCCGCGCCCAGCCAGATGAGCTGCGCCCGCCGCAGGATGATGGAATCCGCGTCTGAATATGGAAACTGACGCCCACTCTGCATGAGAGCTACTTGCGAGACTTTGCCTTCTTGAACCCATGTGCGAACTGCAAAACTAACCTTCCAGATTTCGTGAACAACAACCTCTTGCCAATCAGTTTCTGGCCCGACTTGGACCAGGAGATGCCAGCAGCGAGACCCTTCAAGTAAATGCACTCTGTCCCCGGGGGTCCTGAAACGGATAATTGCCTTCTCGAAATCCGATGCGACCCCGAAACGCGCGAGAGTGGAGCATCTACCTCGACGGCTGGAACTGGCAAACCAAATTCTCGGCCGCCCACATATGCAGGAGGTGAGGCGTGATTCAGCGACTTGGCCATTGGTTAGTACCAATCGCGAACTCTATCAGGGGTCACGGGAACAATATTATCCTGTTCTGGCAGATGGTTCTCACGAAAGGTATCTGCCGACCCTCAGCTTGCTCTAGAAAGATCATGGACGACGTATCCACCGAGTCTGGGATGCCCCTGAAGGCCCCCGTGAGCTGAGATGCCAGAAACGCGCATTTCTCATACACGACCCAAACACATCGCCACTCTCGTCCGTTAATCTCGGTCTCCGGATTTTCGAGCGAGGACACGTGCCCGAAGGTGGTTTCGGCGACCTGGAGCCCCCGGAACCTCGTATCGGGACTCTTGGAGGCCTCGGACTATACCTGGATGTCGTCTGGGGTGTCAAAGAGCTCTCTCTCGGAAAGCGGAAACACATCTGCAACGATGTCGATGCGATGTGGGATGCCGTCGATCGCAATGTGGAAGATGACGATGGCATTCGGGGGGTTGTCGATCGCAGTCCCGAAGATGGAGGCATTTGCGCACTCCTGGGCGATGGCACCTGTTACCCCGGGGGGGGCGGGGGGGGGGTCAACGGCAACGGAGGCCGCGGCGCGCACCCCCCGAGGCGCGCCGCCTACGTCGTCATCGTCGTCGTCCTCGTCCAAGCCCATAGCGTCCGTGCTCATAACGCGGGCCTCGTACACCACAATCCCTTTGTGCACCAGAACTGCTGCTGTTGCTGCAGTGGTGATTGGATTTCTGGCCCGAAGAACGCTCGGACAGGTTGGGCCCACAGCGACTGTGAAACAAAACGCCTGCGTGCACCACAAGGCCTGCGTGCACCACAATGCTTGTGTACACCACAATACCCGCGTCCTGTACGCGCAAAGAGGACGACGACGTAGGAAGAGGTGTGTGGGCACATCATAGCCCACAGCGCACGCTAGCATCATGGCGACCGTTCGCGCTACAGCGATTGTGTACATCACGGCGCCCGTGTACTTCAACCACAGGGGCTTGTGATATGTACACCAGAAAATGCTCGCGTACACCCACTTTGCCTGTGTGCACCACAGCTGCTGCTGCGACGACAGTTGCGTGCTCCACAGCGCCGGTGCACACCGCAATGCCTGCGTACACCATGGTGCACGCCGGCGTGCACCGCGGCACCACTAGTGCCCGCGTGCACCATGGGCTGCCCGGGATCGCGCACCGCGCCGGGGCGTTACCGTTACGAGGGGGGGGCAGGGGGGTAACATGTGCTATCCCGTGGGTGGATAAAAATGGCATCATGTCGATCGCAGTCGTGATGCTGTCGATCGCACTCTCGAAGATGTCGACTTTTTTTCGTGCCGCTGTCGATCGCAATCGAGAAGATGCCGACCGCAGTCTTGACCCGACCGGTGACGATGGATGCTTGTACTTGCGCCCGCTCTGCAGCTTGGCAAGCGCCTTGCAAACCCTAGCGATGTGCCTTCGGCCACCGCACCTCAGGCAGACCGTGATCGGATCGGTTTTCCAGTCCTGGTTGCCGCTCCGCTGTCCAAGCGAGCTTCGCGACGGAGGCGAAGTCTTGCCAACGCCCTTGGACGTCATTGGTGGCGGTGGCCCCTGTTGAACCCGAGCCGAAGATCCTCCGGCCCGTCTTCTTCTCGCGAGGGAGTTCTCGTGCATGCTTGAAGGACCGCTGCCCTTGTTGAGCAGCAGCAGCATCCACAGCTCTCTCGAACAACTCGTCGAACAGATCCTTCTCGTCTCCGGCTTGGTCATAGTTCCCCTGGCGTTGGCTAGGGATGTCCTCATCCTCCGCGGCCACCCATGCCGTAGCGTCGTCGCTCAGCTGGGCCGCCGAAAAGTGGACCTCGTCATCATCGTCATCGTCCTCTTCGAAGTAGTCCCCGCCGCCCTCGGCAGCGTAGTTCTTACGTCCATGCCACTATGGCCTCGAGCCTTTGCGACGACTACCCTCACATTCGTGTTTCTTGTCGAACTGCATACCGAGAGCCTGCATGAGTTCTTGGAACTCATATTTGACCTGCACCGACGCCAGCACCTGAAACCTCTCATGGCATGATGGTCCAGACCCGCATTTTCGAATATAATCATGCCCACAGCGGCTCTGGAAAGATCGGCCTCTTCTCGTCGAAGCTCCAGTCGATGGCCTCGATGGCCTTCTGCATACGGTGTTCTTCGACTTCGAACTAGGTGATGTAGTCTATCATCGCCACTCTGTTATTCTTGAACGCATCCTTCATGAAAGTGCGCGTATCTTTCCCGGCGTCCTCTACCTCCTGGATGCCGCTCTTCTTGTCCAGGTACTTCAACAGCTGGCTAACTCACGTCGGCAGCTTGGTCGCAGCGTCTTCTTCGCAGCGTCGGCAGCTCGTACTTCTGAACACCCTGCCAGGCACGTCTTCTACAGCCTAGGCCCGCCGAGGCCCGTTTTGCCCTTCTTCGTGCCCCTCACAAATATATTGACCCTCATCACATAAGATTCGCAGTCAGCAACATCACCGTCCCAGGATGACACCGTCCCGTGCGTCTCACTCTCAGTCGCCATGGCATGCCGGTCCGTGGAGCCGGACCGGCTCCGCTACAAACTAAATCGTTGGCGCTGGCGGAAGCCTCGTCGAAAATGAAGATGAAACACTGTCACGATTATCATGATAATCACCTGCTCCTCGCCAGCACTCGCGATCCAATATCTTGATATCGGCGGGCCCGGGTGGGCCCAGTCCTGTAGCGCTCGGCGGAGCGCTGATACACTACACGTGCGTCCCAGCAGCTCGCTACCAGCTCAAGGGCGTCCTGGCCCGAAACGGCAGCGATGAAACAGACATGTGCTCGGTCCCAGTGCCCAGCATGGATCAGTCGGCCGACGTACAATGATTATTCACAGGGGGCAGGTGACGGTAATGCTTAGGCGGGGTGGGGCACGTCGGGGCGGGGGCGCGCCGCCATCGCCTGGCACGTGGGGGTGGGGGTGGGGGGCAGCCTCCCCTCTTCAGCTACCCGGCACGATCGCTACAGCTACCAAGGGGGCAGGGCTTGGACCGGGCAGCGGCCGCCCCAACGTTCGGGACACAGGCCCCCGATGTTGACCACTTCCCTGGGACCGGGTTCTCATAGCGAGCAAATTTCCGACGGCCCCAATGCCCAGCGAGGGCCACGATAGGCCGAAAACGACCAAGAACCCACGGCTCGATTGTTTCAAGACGCCAGATGTCTGGGCCACGCGCCAGAGGGCAACAAAACAATCTCCTGCACGTCCAGGGAGAAGCGGGGCAGCTCCACCTCTGAGCCCCCGAGCTCCAGGCAGATCCTGGGACCGCCCTCGCTGCCGATCGCCAGGTACCGCCCGCCCCCCGGCTGCGGGCCTCCGGAGTCGCGCACCTGCAGGAAGAAGAGAAAAACAGACATCTAGCGTCTCGAAGAGATCGGGACGGAGGAGGAGGAGGAGCAGGAGGAGGAGGAGGAGGAGGAAGAGGAGGAGAAGGAGGAGAAGGAGGGAGAGTTTCAGTGTTTTCGTTCAATCAGGGCCCTCACCGGGCCTCGGGACCAAAACGGCTCGAGATGAAAAACTGGCCCTGGGCAAGTGGTTGAAAAGCTGGGGGCGCGTGTTTCGAAAGAGTCGAGACGCCATATGACTGGGAATTGCAAGGCTTCAGGTTGCGCACAGACAGCGCTGCCGAGTAGTCCCAGCTGGCCTCAACAGGCCCTCCAAGTACTAGGGCGGCCTCAACAACCTGGTGCCGCCTCTGGCGGCTTCCCTGGGGCGCTCCGCGCCCCAGGGGCGGGGTGTTGAGGCCGCCCTGGACTACTTTTGGGGCCTGTTGAGGCCAGCCGGGACTACCTGGGAGGGCTGTCTGCGCGCAGCCCGAAGCCTTGCCAAACATCAGCACTCCGAGCTCCTCACGGATTTCCGGGGTCGGCGCTGGGGCCCCCCTGGCGACGCCTCCGGCGCCGCCCCCTGCGAGCTTCGCGCGCCAGGAGGTATGTTGATGCCGAGGGTTGTTTTGCTGTTCTTCGATGGCCCTCAGTTGAGCAGGGACCGACCGTCCCGGAATTCCTATAATCCTACCACTAAATGTTCTTGGAACCCAAAACGGTTCTAAGAGCAAAAACAATGTTCTTAGAACATAAACTGACAATATTCGAAAACAATGTTGTAGAACAAATCAGTCCCAGCCAGAAATGTTCTAAGAACATTTCGTGCAGGCCACAAAAAGGTTCTTGGAACGTTCTTTGGTGGGCCTATATATATAGGCCTATAGGCGAGCCAGGACGCTTCGCCACTGCTTGACCCAAGGCCGCGCACCGCTCCCCACATCACCACGGACGTGCGCGCCGTGCCCAGCCCAGGGAGCTCCAGCGCCGGCAGGGCGAGCTCGTAGCTCCGGCTCCTCTGCCCGGCCGTCGTACCCGGCCCGCTAGCAGACTGCCGGCGCACGTCGGAGCCCAGGGGCCTCGCTGCGCGCACGAGCCGGTCGACGCTGTCCTCAAGAAGGGCAGAACTATGTTGGCGCTGCGCGCTGCGCGAAGCGCGATGAACTCCGCGCTCTCGCGCCGCCCTCCAGGGGAAGCAGAGGAGGACGAGAAGGATGAGGCTGGGGAGTCGCGAGCTGCGAGCCGCGCACAGCGCACAGCGCACGGCGCCGCGCCCTCACGGCGGCCCTCGTGTCCTCCTGCTCGCCCTCGCCGCCGAGCAGCCAGACCGCCGCGAGGTCGGCCGCACCCGCGAGAGGCGCGGCGATGCGGGACGCGGACCCGAAGCTCACGGCGCCGCCCTCGAGCTCGAACCACTCGCGCGGGCCGTCCGCCCCGGGCCGCAGCGCCGCGCGGGCGCCGGCGCTGCTCGGCCAGCGGCGCGGCGCGCGCGGCGGCGCCCGCGCGGCGCTGGCGCGGCGCTCGCGGCCGGCGCGGCGGTCCGCGTGCGGCCCGCAGAGCGCGAGCGGGGCGCAGAGGAGCGTGACGCAGGCGGGGGCGCGGGCGCCGACGAGTCGCGCGCGCGCTCGCCCGTCGGCCGGCTCGCGCGCGCCGCGGCGCCGCGCCATGGTGTGGCCCCGATCCCAGACCCCCGAGCGCGCCACGGGGGAACATCGCAGCGAGAGAGGGTGTCGCTGCTTTTTCGGCAGCTGGGGGCACTCGCCAGGCCCTGGGATCGCCAAAGAGCGCCTCGGGATGAAAAAAGCCAGCCCTGGTGAACGTGTCGAGTCCTCTGGGGATCGACGTTGTGGAAAAAGCATGACGTGGGGGGTCTGGGTGTGGTCGTGCCCGTCGGCTGCCGCACGAGCCCCGCGGGAGGCCTTGAGCCAGATGCAAGGGGAGGGAGGCAATCCTGGCGGATCGGAGCAGCCGACCTGAACATCCAAAAGCTTGCTAGCTTGCTGAATGTCTGCACGCTCCCGAGAGCTCTGGATCAGTACGTCGGGCAAGACGGATGACGCTGGTTTGCAGCTGAAATTCACAGTCGCGACGTTGCCACCGGTGAGGCCGTCGCGTCTTACGGAAAAACCACATCCGATTCTGGCGAAGCTAGAGAAATTTGAATCGGGACGACTTTCGATTTCGGAGAAAGAAAAGCAGATTGTGACGAGGAGTTCAACAGTGAACGAATGTAAAATGCACAACGGACACGACCAGACCAGCGGCCGAACGTCGGAGCCGGAAACTACTGCAGTCGGTGATTGGGACTGACTGCTGGTTTTGCCACTGCGACGAACGTCAAGACTTGTCATGCCACGTGGGCGGGGCAATTTCCTAGTGTCAGGGAGGCTGCAGATGCTGACGCATCATCTCTCGCGGATCTATCTACTGACCCGGGCCAATCCAAACCCAGGTCAGACTCAGTCAGGCCTTGCAGGATCCTGTACGCTAACCCTGGTCAGTGCGCACCTGGCTCTGCAGGATCCTGCAGGATCTGGCGCGCTGGCTGACCCCCGTTTGCAGTGACCCCCGCCTCAAGGCTCCCGAATCTCGCTCTTAGGCCGCCGCCGGTGGCATACCTCCGCCGCCGAAGCTCAAATCTTCCGAGGTCCTAGGCCCTCGGCGCTGACATTCCCTGAGATCCAGCGTCACGAAAAAGTGCAGAACGGCAAGAAGCCTCAACCAGAGCCCTGGATCCGACTCTCTACGTCATTTTTTGAGCCGGATCGGTCCGTGATGGTCGCGGGACCCGAAACAGGGCACAATCGCTGTTTGTGAAAAAGATGCGACGCCATAAACGCCAGAATCTCATGATTATATCCTATCGCCGGGGGAGAAAGACGTTCCCCTGTAACCAGCCAGCCAGCCACCCCATTAAGCCGGCCAGTCACCAGCCAGCCAGCCAGCTAATCCCCCAGAAACAAGCATGTCTTCGCCAGCCATCGACTCCATCAAGCTGGGGCGTCCGTCGAGAGATCTGTCGCCACCTCGGCGCCCAACGCGATAGAACACTCCAGGCCTGGCTGGCAACCACGGCTGTCTGATTCGCACAGCGACCAGGCGTGCAACCGCACGAGCGTCGGCTTGGCGTCACAGCCTGGGTGTCCGTCGCGAGAGGCATTGGTGTAGCAACGGGGTTTGTCCCCGCATGGTCAAGAGCAGCCAGGGAAGATGAACACAAGGGTATCATGTTCCTTGCCCGCAGCGCAAAAAAAAACATGAATCCACAGAAAGACTCAAGACAAACATGTGAATGACGGACACGTTGCGGAAATGAGAAGCGGCTTGGTACCTTCCGTGGTCGCACTAAGCGATATTAGTCTACATGAGCTTATCGAAGGCCCACCGAGGGCACACGATTGGCATTTATGGACTGGAGCTCAAAGGCTTCTGGCGCGGAGGACTTATGCATGGATGCTCCTCCACCTCGTACTCATCACCGTCTAGAAGAGAAGGCATGACAATAGGAAGAACAACAGCAGAAGAAAACGTGAAGGATCTGAAGCAGGAAGGGGAGGGGGGAGAAACAAGCCGTCAAAGAAGACGCAACTGGCGCTGCAGGCTCGTGCAATGAATGCGGCGTGCGGGAAAATGGCGGGCAGCGAGTTATGCGGATGGAGCACGACGTCCTGACATGAGTCAGAAAGGACGCGGGGATAGCGAAGTGTGAACAGGGACCGCGGGGAGGGGAGCACGGAGCAGGGCGGGAAACGAGGAGCACCGACAGGCCAGAGGCGCTCTGGAATGAAATAAGTGGCCCTGCGGGTACCCCTCGTTCGGATTAAATACGTAGAAGCCTCGCATCGAACTGCGCTGAAGTAGATGGGGGTTCCGCCCGACCCCTGAAAACTAGAAACAGACCGTTCGACTCTTGAAACAAAAAGGAGCCTAACGTAAATTTGAATCTGGGGATCCAGAAATACCTACATACTTCCGGCCAACGACTGGTGATGAATAGTGGCTGGGGACCTGGTGCGCAAAGCAAGCAAAGAACGATATGAGCGGACGTAGCTGGTAGAGAGTAGTGATGAGGGGGAACGTTAAGGGGGTACTTCCTCAGGGAGGGGAGCATCGAGCTGGAATCGGCGATACATCGCCGATGAATCGGTGCTAGGCCCTCGAAAGCGAACCCGCACGTTTCTGAGGGGGGTGGGTCACCGGGCTCCCATCGGCGATGACTGGGCGTTTGGGGGTCGATGCAGCCCCCCTGAACCTATCCCCACCAACGTTGCCCCATGAGGTGCAAGAGTAGTGGGAAGGGACGGGCGAGCCGGCGGCAGGGAGCGTGAAGCAGCGAGCGGCGAAAAAGAGCGGGGAGACGGAGCAGCGAGGTACGGCCAGTCTGCTCACTTCACCCCCGCTACCCCAGCTCCCGCACGCGCCCGCTCCTCGTCACCCACTTCCCCCCAAATAGTCAAGAGTCAAGCGGAGGGCAGGATGAAGACAAGGGGGCAGGAGTGGGAAGCAAGCGGGTGTCGGCGCTCGATCCTTCTGCCATCCCTCTCTCCCCCTATCCTCCCCCCATCCAGTTCCTAAACCTTCTCATCATCCCGTACCTCCTCCTCCTCCTCCTCCTCCTCCTCCTTCACATATTCATCATAACATTATGCATTATCTCTGTCCTCCTCCTCCTCCTCCTCCTCCTCCTCCACCTCCTCCACCTCCTTTCCCTCCTCCTCCTCCTCCTCCTCCTCCTCCTCCTCCTCCTCCTCCTCCTCCCGCGCGCGTTTCACGACTTCGTCCACGTGCTGCGGACTCGCCAGAAGTCCAGAACGGACGCCGCACTGCCCAGCAAATTCATGCCGTACACAGAGGGACTCAATCAGGCGCGCCCTGAACAGGTCGCTCCAGCTGGTCTGCCCGTCTACACCGCCATCTGAGGCCGCAAAGAGGGATACACACCAGTGGATCAAGGAGCGCCTCCCGTGAGTGCGGCAGGTTCGTGTCGTGACGACATCGGCCTTGGCTTCTGACACCGCATGGATCGTTCAGTCTTGAACGATCGCGGTTTTCCCGTGGCGCGGGCCGCTCAATGTTGGCCGAGCGGGATCACCAGCAGCGCTCTGCCTTGAACGCCCGCGCTGCGGTCAACGCCGCGTCGGCACGACACGAAAATTACCGTGCAGCGCTGTAATGTGGAAAAGCGGCAAGCCGGAGCGGCGATCAGCTCGAGGCCGAGGCCCACGCCTCATCATCCTCCTCCTCTTTACCCTCCTCCTCCTACTCCTCCTCCTCGTCATCCTCTTCCTCCTTTCCCTCCTCCTCCTCCTCCTCCTCCTCCTCCTGCTCCTCCTCCTCTTCCTCCTCCTCCTACTCCTCCTACTCACCTTCCTCGTCATCCTCTCTTCCTCCTCCTCCTCCTCCTCCTCCTCCTCCTCCTCCTCCTCCTGCTCCTCCTCCTCCGCCTCCACCTCCCATCCGCATCATCCTCCTCCTCCCCCACCTATTCCTCCTCCCACTCCTCCTCCTCCTCCCCTCCTCCTCATCCTCCTCCTCCTTCGCATCATCATCATCATCATCATCATCATCATCATCATCATCATCATCATCATCATCATCATCATCATCATCATCAGCATCATCATCATCATCAGCATCATCATCATCATCATCAGCATCATCATCATCATCATCATCATCATCATCATCATCAGCAGCAGCAGCAGCATCATCATCATCGTCATCATCATCATCATCATCATCACCATCATCATCATCACCCTTCACCCTTCCTCTAGCTCCTCCTCCATCTCCTCCGCCACATCCTCCTCATCCTCTCATCCTCCCCCACGCCGACGCCTGTGGGGATTTACGGCGTCATCTCTTCTCTTTGATGGCGCTGAGTAACGCCTCCTCCAGATGCTGACGCGCAGTGTTGGTGTCCGTCAGGTCGGCGTACTCCGCCTCTCAAACAGGAGGAGGGGTGGCGCCGTCGACGGCGACGACGAGAAGGATACGCAGCAGGCACAGGAGAAGCGAGAGCTGTACGTCGGCGGGGATACTCGAAGACGGTAGGGAGGGCGGGACGCCTGCGAGCTGCACGACGGTCGGCACACAAAAAGAATCGGCCTGAGAGAAAGTGCCCCACAGAAGGTTCAGATCACCCGATGCCCAAGGGGACCCACAGAGGCTCTGAAGCACCATAAGACCCTCGATAGTTGGAGGAAGAGTGTGCCCCAATGACTCCTGCATCAAGAGATCGTATCGTATGGACGTGTGTGAGGTGAGTGTGTGTGAATGTGTGTGTGTTTGCGAATGTTCCTACTGTTGAGCTTCACGTGTCTTCGTCCATCACAACCGGCACTCGTAGCTGGACTTCTGTGGCTAGGCTGCGCGCACGGGCCGAGTCGTGCTCTGGCGCCTGCTTGGCGGGATGGCGGCGTCGCCAGAGGTCTGATTCCCGACCGCTCTTTCTTCTGGATAGAGTCCGGCTGCCACTTCTCTGACTACCTACCAGACCACCCTTTTTCAATGTTCCCCGAACCCCCCCCCACTGGAAATTGAGGGCAAATCGGGGCCCTCGGGATGGGTTGGGTTGGTTTGGTGAGCGGCGATTCTCTCCGTGGAGGGTGGGACGATCGAGGAAAAAGTGTGTCTGCCCTCCTTTGAGCTGCACTACGTAGATCACAGCAGCGCTCGCGATTGCACGCTTGAGCGCAACATCGATCGAGGAACATAGAGGTGGTCTCTGCACCACATTTCGAGGGAAGCTTGCGTTTGGGAGCGCTCCGGAGGGCCGTGTCGGGCTGGGTGAGTCTTACTGGGCTCCTCGGTCTGGGGGGGGGGGGCGGGGCCAACGCCGATCCAAAAGATCCGCGCGGAGCCCAGAAAGTTTATGCTGATGCAGTTGTTTCTCCATGCATGCTGTTTGCGTACAGTGCAGACAGCGCTGAGTGCTGCCAATGGCCTGGACACTGGGGCAGATAGGAGCGCGAGGAGCTGGCATGAGAGATCAGGCTCTGCTGTCGAAGGGGAGGTGACAGGGTGACTCTGACCAGCCACAACGAAGCGATAAAATAAGTGAATGAGCAATTTGAAGTACCACGCTGGCTTCTTGAAAAGGTCCTCGAAGGTTGCCCCCTGGACGCCTATGACGCCTCCTGGGCGCCCCGTGGAAACATCTCCGGGCCCCTTCTTGGAGACTTCGTGGTGAACACCCTGAAAGGCCCCCTGAAGCTCCTCGGGCCTCCCTCCGGAAAGTCTCCAGCAGGCTCCCTTGGGATGACCCCGGTGTTGCCCCGAAGCGGCCCGGAAGACCGCTGCAGGACTGCCCGGAGGCCCTTGGACGCTCGCTGGAAGCTCGTTTGGTGCTCCTGAAGGCTCTTTAGGGTTAGGTCGGGCGTGCCCCCCTACAGGCGCATTTTGGACGCAAAATTTAATATAGCCCCCAAAAAATATGCAACATAGATTCAACACTAGTCAAAACTCGTCCCCATACGATTTGGTAACTATGTTTGATGAATGTTCCTCCTGTAGAGGGACACGCCCGATTTATAACTTTAGGACTTAATCCGCCCCTGACGCACAATCTAAACCTCAACCGACAACCTGCACTCAAACCAGAACATCGAAACCCTGAACCCGACCTGTGAGGACAGCTCGGGCGGCCCGAGGAAAGCACGGGGAGGCCCACTGGAGGGCCCCAAAGGGGCCCCCCTCAGGAGCTGGCGCGAGCGCTCCCGCGCAACTCACGAACAGGACATGCTGCATAATCGGGGGCCCTTGCCCGTCCCGTCGCGCCCCCACCCGCGTCGCGTCCGCATCGAGTCCGCGTCGAATCCACGTCGCAACCGCCTCGAAGCCACGTCGAATGCACGTCGGACCCGCGTCGGGCCCACGGCCGATGCAGTCCATACCGTCGCTTACAAGGCACGCAGCCAGGCGCCACGGCTCCCCCCCGGCGATATGCGGTGCAGAGGGCCCCCCCGAGCACGCAGCTGCGCCTCCGGGGCGCGCTCTGGGAGCCCCCCCCCGCGACGGCCGCCCGCGAGAGCTAACTCCTCCTCCTCCTCCTCCTCCTCCTCCTCCTCCTCCTCCTCCTCCTCCTCCTCCTCCTCCTCCTCCTCCTTCTCCTGCTCCTCCTCCTCCTCCTCCTCCTCCTCCTCCTCCTCCTTCTCCTCAAGAGCAGCCGGGCGCGCCGACGAACAGAAGGCCAGGAGCGGGGGGGCGGCTGCGCGCAGACGGGGGGGGGCAGGGGGCCGTCTTGAAACGAGGAGGAGGCGAAGCAGCAGAAGCAGAAGAAGCATTACGATAGAGACAGCAAGGACAAGAAGAGGGGGGGCCCGATACTGGAGCCCGCACTCGCTCAAAGGCCGGCGGCCAGCGGACGCGCTCCGAGGGGAGGAGCGGCTACTCCTGACGCTTGACGCCGCTGGCAAGTGGATCCTCAAAGGACGCTGCCAGG